TATTGCATTTAGTGAAATCTGTAGACATTCCTCCTGATTGTAATTGTACCATTTAGTTTCATAATACTGCAAGATGTCTAGGTTTGTCAGATACTCGGTTCCTTCGCTTCCCTCCATCCTTTCAAATAATACTTTCCACAAACAATTACACTTCTTACGCCGAAGATATATCTCTGAATACACTTGTCCTTTCAATGTAGACATTTTCTCTAAGGTTCTTATGAGTTGTCTAGCACAGTTTTTAACCTTATCTTGGATACGGGTGAGGTATCTTCTGCTATTGAATACTGGTTTCACTAGTGTTGAGGGGGATCTGGGATGCCTATTTTCTGATGGCCTGTAGAAGGAAACCATAAGAAAAACAACGTATTTTTCCTTTTAGGGTGCTGAAACTGTCAAAAGATTGCTGGACATGGCCATAGATGCTGTGCCACCTCATCTCTGGAAGAAGACCCCAGTAGTGTTAAAAGCCACAGCTGGACTGCGCTTGTTGTCAGAGGAGAAAGCTCAGGCTCTGCTTTTAGAGGTAATAGTAAGATCTTTTGGATGCACTAGTATTGCTCTCCCTGTTTTGTCTTTCATGACTCAGTTCTCCATTCTATTTAGCATAAGAGAACTTCAGCCATGAAAAGTGACTCTTATAGGCTTTACAGATTTTCTTGTATGGTCCTGAAATCATCTGTCTTAATGTGGATAGAAGGCATGTGGAGAGAGACCTACCATAATTGTTTCTCTCTTTCCTGGCCCTTGAAAGAAGAAGATTTTTGTCTACTCCACACACTTGTCTTATTTTATACTGCTGTGAAAAAGAAAACTTCCTCTGTCGCCATCAGAGCAGAACAAGACTCTTCAGACCAAGGAATCTAATCATTATTTCTTTCTTCAGGTGAGAAAAGTCTTTGAGGAATCACCATTTCTTGTTCCAGAGGACAGTGTTAGCATCATGGATGGGTCTTCTGAAGGTACATTTTAGAAGGAGGAAAATGTGAAAGTGAAGAGGAGTGGGGGAAAGAGAGAGCTCTATCTTATGGACGTGAGAGGGAAAAAAAAAAGAAGTGATCACTAAACTGAGGGGAAAAATAAAAGGTTTCTAGCTCTGTTTGAAACAATTCAATCCTGCTTTTCCTAGGAGGTGTTGAGTAGTTGATCATCTGTTAGGCTGCAAATGCAGATAAACCAAGAGTCTTATGAGTTAGCTAGGTGAAGGTTCATCCAAAGCCTTCTGAGGTTCCAGAAGAGGACCTCATCTCAGAAATAAGTATGCAGGCTAATGCAGGCTAACCAGCTGAAGCCTGCACTTGGAAACTGGTGAAAAACAGATGGTGTCTACCTCTGAAAGGCTATATGACGATACATAGCAAGCTAGGAAGCTTATTGAAAGTGCCTAGTAAATTCTGCAGTATCAGTATTAAAAATAATCTGTTATGATTAGCTCATCAATTTTCGGGTTAAGATTGGAAGCATTGTGAATATTAGAGGAGAATAAAGGATAACTGGCAAGTATTAAAAATTAGATAACAAAATATATAATAAAATAATACAATTTAAAAAATATTCAGATTGGAAAAAATACTGATAGTAAATTAGCAAAGGAAGTAAACTAAACTACAAGAAAAGGTGAAATATGTTGTAGGTTTGGAGTGAGTAATGATTTTGTGTTGCAGAACAGACTGTTGTAACATTTTGGCTACATATCCAGACATATTACCTTAGAGAATAGGCAGGTAATAATCCTACTGTATGGATGCCTGATAAGCACCGTCATGTTGCATTCAGTTCTGAACACTTCATTCTGACAGATATATTGCCAGTTTGAAAAGTGTTCAAGGAAAGCAAAAAGAACTATCGTGACAGTTAAACAACTAATAAATGGAGGAAGATTAAAGAGCAAAATCTGTCCATATGGGCCAAGAGAAAAGGAGAGGTGACATAAAGTCTGCAAGTATTCGATGAAGTATGGTGCAATGCATAGTATCTCACTAGGCTTAACGGGTGAATTGTATAGAAGGGAGAAGTGTTATACTGACAAGGAGCAGGACCAGTGACGTGTAATAGAGCACAGTGTAGCCTGCCAAGGTTTATTTAAAAATCCCACCTCTTCTACTGTCACATGTTTGCCTGTGTTTGGGTGAGAATTATGCCAGCATCGAGCATGCCGCTGGAGTCAAAGGAGTTGTTTGTGTTTTACTGGTTGCCACTATGTCTGCAGTGTAATTATGGAAACCACAAGATTAAAACACAGAATGGTGTGTGTGCAATTTTCAGATGAAGAACTGAAATGCTAGGGGGAAAAAGTGCCCAAGGAAATTTGTGCATTGTGTCAGCTCATTACTTCTTTGTATATTGTTTGGATAATAGACATGATTTGTGCATGGTGCACTTGCATGGATATTACAAAAGTTCTACCTATCGCAGCTTATGAGATTTTAATGAATCAATAATGCATCATATCACTTAATTATAAGTTTGAATTAATCTCTGAAGTATGGGGCAGTTCAGTTAGTAATGATTTCCAGGTAGATAAATAACATGTGGAGGGGTGGGAAGGGTGGGCAGAAGTATGGGAGTATGCAGTAGTGACTGGTTTTTTTCCTTTTTCACTCTTTGCAGGAATTTTAGCCTGGATCACTGTGAACTTTTTGACAGGTAGTTAATTCTGTATAACTTCTCTCTAAATATGAACTTGATTTTCTTCTGCAGAGATGTCCGCTCTAAGTTCCTCTGCCTTCGTTGCTATGTCCTGCTTTTCCTCCCCGCTGTGGCACGAGCGCTAAAGCGGTGGATTGTCTTGGGCATACTCTGTTCCAGAGGGTGAGCCACACCTGTAGTAAGAAGGAAACATCTTAGTCTGGAAGGTGCCCAGATTTACTCAGGACTGGGAGGCACTGGCAAGCTGGTGTAGGGGAGTGGTACTGCTATTCTGTTAGAAGGTGGGAAACAAGGTTTTACAATATTTTAATCCCAGCATGAACTATGCAGCTAAAATAATGTAACAGGGAATGCACTGGTGCTTTAGCCCTACTGTCTTTAAGAAGTTCTGGGAATGCAATCTAGTGAAGAGAAAATGAAATCAGTACTCTAGTAGATACAAGAGCAAGCAAAAAAGCTGCTCTGGACAAAGAGAAATTATAATAGCTGGTTCTGCTGTTACTACGCTTCCTCTCCTACTGCTCTTGAAGAACTACATGGTGGTTACAGAATTCACGTACTCTCCCTGATAGTCTTCTGCAGGAAATACTTTCTTACTTTCAGCTTTTGCTGGATGCCTGGAGACTTATCTGCTTTTGTCTCTTTGGAGGTAAAATTGGAAGCAAGGAAGAAAGTCCTGTGAAACTTTTCGTGATACCTTCTGTTTGCCTACCTTCTCACTGAGATCTTTTTGTCTTTGAAGGCCAGCTCAGCCTTCCTGTATTGCTGTGATAATGTGATAACCTGGTGGCTGCCTGAACATGCATGCAATATTTTGCACTTGGGACTGTTCTGAACATGATGGTATTTGCAGGGCAGTTGTCTGGCCAGAACCGGCATACTGTTGGGACTCTGGACTTGGGAGGAGCCTCAACCCAAATCACATTCCTGCCACGGTTTGAGGTGAGGAGTGGTTAAAAGTGTGTGGGTTGGGACTGCAGGGCCAGTGGAGAGACCTGAGCACTGCTCTGCTCTCTGATATGGTTTTGTCAGCACTGGCACAAGCAGAACATCTGTGGTGTACAGAACATCTGTATTTGTTTGCTTTGACCTCAGCAGTTGGCTGATAGGCACTTGCAAACAAAGGAGCCTGGATAACAAGGAAGAAAGAAGAAAGAAACCAAGCAAATGGGTAAAACCAAAGTGAAACAGCTTTTGTTTTCTAGACCCAGGCTGGAAAAGCCCCATTAATGCAGGCAATTATTTTGTATTCAACAAATGTAGAACATTTCCAGGGAGTATTCTTGCATATTAAAATAAATTTAGGGTCTGCTCTGAGTTATCTTTTTTTTTTTCCTATTCCAGTCTGATAGTAGATCCTCAATAAATTTTGGAGGGGGGTGTCGCATGGAGCAAACATCTTTTATAATAGCACAGCCTATCCCTCTTTGTTTTCTTATCAATTTATTCTCATTTTCTCTGAGAATTCACCTCTCTGCCTCTTGTTTGTTTTCTTATCAATTTGTTCTAATTTTCTCTGAGAATTCACCTCTCTGCCTCTCAGTCTAGCTCTACTGGATTTGTTGGGAATTCTGGAGCTCTTATACAGTTTGAACTGGGACCCAAATTTATAGGAATTCTGTAGCTCTTTATAAACAGTTTGAACTGGGACCCAAATTTATAGTTTGCATGGGAAAATTACATGGATACAGAAGGGCACTATAGCATTCTATACCTTGATATTGTGAAGTTGTTTTTGTCCCCCTTTCTGAAAGAGTCCTTTGTTTAACATTTTTTTGTTTACAGAAATTGAGACTCTCAGAGGGTGTTTGGGAACCACAAAACACAGGATACTTTAGTTCTGCAATGGTGGGTCATGTTGAAACATGATGTGCAACCTTATCCTGTTCAGCAGAGCCTCAAGTACTCTGGGCTTGCCCTCTGTTTTGTGTTGATAACACCTGCTGAAGTGGGCTCTGGACCAACAGGAAAGGGTGCTGCATATCGGGGTTTTGGAGAATAAACAGAGCTCTGAAGTAGGCTGAACTGCAGCTTGTGATTTAGATGTCTCCTTAGAGCCTTGCAGGGAGAGGCCTCGAGGGTTTGCTGCTGGCCAGGACAAATGGTTTGGATTCGTAGGGCAGTGTGGAAGTCAAGGTTCACATTGCCTGCTTGAGTGCTATGTCCACTTCTCGCCTGTACTGTCAAGTTCATACAAAAAAGCCCTACATAGCTCAGTATGTTTCTGAAGAGATGTTTGCATCTGACGGAATTAGCAGAGGGATTTGCAGAGGGTTTTTTTCCCTTCCTGCAATCTGAGGCAGTCATTTGTTTGCTCTTGTATTTGTTTTGAACAAAATACTGTAATAATAAGAGAGTCATTAATGAAAAATAGATGAGAAGCAAGTAGAGGACATATAATGGTAACTGCATGGAACTGTTTTTAAGCTAGTGTTATGCTTTTCGTAGTATTATTGCCAAAGTTATAAGCAACGGAAAAACAGTCATAATCGTTATGAAATTGTCTGTCTGGTGCTTGCCTCATTTGAGAGGAGTGTGAGGATTTCACATTTTTGTGAAAGTAAGGCATGAAAAAAAGCCAGTTCTTTTCTCCAAGCAATTTTTTTTCAGGATCTCTTGTTTTTAGAAGTTTTTGTGATATCAAGTTTAGGAACAGAACTCAAAATATGACAGGGTCTGGGTGGGTTGGGTCAGGGATGTGACTGCCATTCCAATGAAAATCTACCTGACACTCCAAACAAATTTCAATTTGTATTTGTTCAGGAGAAACTCAAGCTGAATACTAAGGAATCTCTTTCAGCTTCGAGTAGGCTTCTGTCTAGGACTCTACAATTCCAGATCTGTTTGGTCTCTTTTTTGCTGTATCTGGTCGCTTGAATGATAACTACAGGGTTTCTGCAGCTTAAGTCCTCTCTGAGATTCTCCTGCTTGGCCCAGAGCACCAGACTGTCTGATGTGAATGCACAGGGCCGAGAGGGGATGGGGGAATGAGGTCACTAGCAGAGGAAAGACAAGCTGGGATTGAGATCTCAGAGACTGGAAACAAAGGAACAGTAAATGAGTCCTAAACTGGTTCAGTTTTACAAGAATATGAGAGTTAGTCTGGCAAGAAGGTAGGGACTGAGTATCAGTGGGTAGAGGTGTGTACAGAGGGAAGCTGTGAAAGGAGGAAAACCGGAGGTGGTGAGATGAGAGGTTAATTTAGAGGAAAGCACTTAAACCAGGAGGTAGAGCAGCCCTAAGACTGGGAGTGAGTGGTCACGGTGTTTCCCTGAGTATTACCATGACATTTAACCTGGTAAAAAATGTGGCCTCTACTTTACTTTGCATTTTCAATTCTTCTCAGTTCCTGAACTGGGATGTCTAGTCTGACTTGCAGAAGTTCATAGTGCTTCTAGTGCAGCAGATTTCGATGGGGACTCTGTATATATAGACTAGCACATAAATACTCTGAAGAATTCAGGTGTCCTGAATTAGAAAGTATTTTCATCCTGATCTGTTGTGCTTTCCTATTATACATTGAATTAACACAAAGATGCATTTAAATAAACTCAGTGTTAAAAGCTTCAGATATTACAGTAGTGGGCACCATTGTAAGACTGTTCTTTGTTTCCAAAGATGAGTGTGCAATAAACCCTATGGGTATATCTGTGATATTACATCAAAGTTGGTTATTCTTTATTGCATAATAGAAACTAAAAGATTTCTTCTTTTATTTAACCTTTAGGAAACTTTGACAGAAACCCCTGGGGATTTTCTTACTTCATTTGAAATGTTTAACAGCACCTACAAGCTCTATACCCACAGGTAAGGAGGAAAAAGGCTGCTGTCTCTGCTGAGGAAATAGCTTTTTCTGAATCCCCTAAGATAACCACAAATGGCCATGTCATCAAGATACCAGCTGTTGGGACCATGACTTTTTTACTACTTTTCTTACCAGTTTGAAACATTAGTTGAAGTGGAACATGACATTAGTTGACGGGAAATGTTCCAGGATCATGGTTAATATCACTGCAAGGGAATATTAGTCAGTCCGTCACATGAAGAGGAAGCATTATGAGTCACTGTATTTAAGGAGAAGAATTCTTATTACTGGATTCAAACCAAATATTCTGGACCAATCAGAAAGGTAGATATCGTGCCAGTGGTAAGAACTAAACCTGGTCAGAGATTTGAAAAGAGGACCTTTCTGGGACTTTTTCCTTCTCATTTCTTAGTTCAAAATGGCACCTGTCATCATCAGCTGGACAAAAAAGTAAAACATCAACTGATGTAAACCAAAGAGAGACAACCACAGGCAGCTGATACAGACCACAGAGCACAACAGATTCTTGAACCAATTGGAGGGGATACTTGGCCTGGAATAATAAAATTGTGCTTACTGCGTTAAGCTGACAACTTTCTGAGATGTCTGCGGTGAAAGCCAGAGAGTTTACCTGCATGACGTACAGTCCAATGAGAACTTAACCATGTATAATAGAGACTTGGTCTCAGCCTGTTACTAGGGGGGTGAATGAAGATTATTGTGTCAGTTACAGAATATACTTACTGGACAGCAAAGCTGGTTTAATAGTCATCTTATCCTGCTGCTGACATTTACTGATGTAACCAATTGCTGTATTCACCAATACAGTCCATTAGATCGCTTGAAATAATTGGGATTGAAAATCATCTCCTAAAAAATGAGGGAGCTGGAGGTTAGTTTAGCTCTGATTATTCTGTAAATGTTTGTATTGACATGACTGAAGGGATAAGTAGCTGAACACAGAGAAAGGAATGAAAGGCCAACAGGTTTTTAATCTAGCTGTGTTGCTGAAGCTAGCAACGTGTAATGGCATTCTCATAAATGTTGTTCACATCCTAGCTTGTAATGAGTATAGCGGTTATCTGTGGAGTCAAACAGAGGTGAATTCGTTGTTCACATCCTAGCTTGTAATGAGAATAGCAGTTATCTGTGGAGTCAAACAGAGGTGAATTTCACACAAAGCACAGCTCCCATTTAGTGGGAGGTTCTGCAGTTCTCCTATTAGTTGTGCCCTGAGACCACATAGTCTTACATGTATGACATAAGATTGGCCATCCTGTTCCCCATGCACTCTTCACATGCCCTTCTTTCTCCCTTGTTTTTAAGATCATGCATTTTTGCTTTTCATTAGTCTTATATAAATGTCACATCAGCTCTAACCACTTTCTGCAGTTTTAGATTTACCTATTTTACAGCTCTTTGTAATTCTTGGGTTTGTGTCACTCTTTGGTACTTGGAATTGTGCTATCAAAGGGAACTCTGTTTTTAGAGGGGAGACTTCTTGGGTGTTCCAAGATTTAGGAAGAGGCTATGGGTGAAGCATATCAGATGTGCAAAAATTAAAACTGTAATGTCTTTCTTTATTGTTTGCAGCTATTTGGGGTTTGGACTAAAAGCTGCCAGACTAGCAACGCTTGGAGCTTTGAACGTGGAAGGTATATGATAAAACATCCAGGATTTTTGAAGAGATGGTTAGACTTAGTCTTGTGTCAGTAGCCCATTTCCTGCATCTTTGCTTCTGTATCTTGTTCTTTTGTATGTTTTTGCTTGTATAGATCTGTCTGGAGACAGGCTACTTACCGGTTGTTAAGGAGTTAGCTGTCTTGCGAGGCAGCTGCTTTTCCCTATTTCCAGGTTCAGCCAGCTGTGAGAATGAGTGCAAATTCCAGAAACGCACACATGGGAGCATACAAACACTGTATAGACGTGGCCAGCCTCAAACTCACAGCTTCACAAGCATCCACAGAAACGCAAACAGCATGAACAGATCCTTTTCCTAAGAATTGCTGCCTAGGCCAAACCCACTTCATAGGTCTCTGGTTATCTGCCTGGCCTGCCAAGTTCTGCCAGACCTCCTGTTGTGTTCAGTGACTAGTCTAACTTGAAGTCCATGAGTATATCACACGTGCTCTTGCTCACTAACCTGAATGCGTATTCACATCCCCGAGTCCTTCCAGTCTCTGACCCAGACCCTAAGTCCTTGCAGCCTTCATGCCCAGACCTTGGGTCTTTTGTCCAGTCTCTGGCCAGGACCTGGGTTCTTTCTGGATTCTTACTTGCCAGCTAGATGGACTTGTGTTAATTACTGGAATGCACTCAACTAAAAAATAGTTGGGAATAGGGTTTAAGAAGATAGGATGGACTGTAGTAATTGGTCACAAGGCTCAGCCAGAAGAGCATACTGAGCAGCTGCCTGCTTAGTTCTGATTGCCTTCTTCTATCGTCCCCTCCATTTTCCCATACTTGCACTTCCCTGATCCCTCAGTTCCCCCTTTCCCTGCTTTTGTGCCTTCCCTAAACATCCCGTAGTAAGTTTTGCACAGTCCCACAATCCTCAGTCATTCTGTAAGAAGTTTGTTTTTTCTGTGAGACCTATACTGGCCACAATAATCATGTTTTTTTCTCATCAGTTATAGTATTTCTGGTTGAACCATTCAAGCGTACGTTCAGTGGTTCCTGTAGTGGCCATTGATCAGTGTCTTAGGAGTTTTTGTCCTCATTGCTCAGTTGCTTTGTCTCTGTTATCTGCTGGCTTGTTAGGGCTTGTGTCTCTGTGTGTTTTATTACCTCTCTTGTTGCTATGGTGAACAGCCATTATCCAGATATCCTTGTACCATTTATCTCTCATTAATAAATGAGAAGCCCAGCTGCTCTGCAGGTTGTAGGGCAAGATGGGCACAACTTTTCCAGACTGAGTCCATAATTAATAATCATGCGCAGCATCCATCAGTTCAGATTTATGTACTTTTGCTTGAGGATCTTAATCAACATCGTTCAGCCTTTTATTATCTGGTTCTGCATATTGATAGATAACTGTGTTAAATTTTATCCTGTCTGACTTTCCCCTCTGGTTTCATTCTAGCTGTGGATGGACAAATGTTCCGCAGTTCTTGTTTGCCAAAGCAGCTGGAAGCAGAGTGGGACTTTGGAGGAGTGAAATACCGGTATGGTGGCAACAAAGAAGGTAAACTAAGGAGACTTGTTGCTTCTTCTAAGATAAGTCTTGTCACCAGAATCTGAGATTTTTCTTGGCAAATACTCTTATCAGTTACCTTGGGTTACGAAGGATACCTGTCCTGTCATAGTTGTGGACTTTGACAGAGCCAAAGGAAAACCTGAAGTTGTAAGAGGAGCTGACCTGTACTCTCCATGTTCAGGATGGGATCTCTTAATACAAATGCTGCCTTTATAGGAAACATTAAGAGTTACTTGTGCAAATAAGAGAGGTTTTTCTGAGGTGTTGAGCTAAGTGCGAAAACCTGGCCTGTGTTAGGGTACAGTAATTGGTAGGCCAAAGCGTACCTATCCCTAATGCTGCATACAGAGGGTGAAGCTGCTGCCACCAGTGACTAGAACAGATACCTTTGGTGACTCGCGTTGTTTTGCTTCACAACGGGGAGCATGAGTGTTGAGTTGCAGATTTTGTGTGTGTGGAGTGGATTGATAAAATTATGATGTGATGGGAGGGGAAAGTAAGGTTTTATCGAGCAGGTGGTAGCAAATGTAAATGAGATTTTGCTGACCATAGAACATAACAATGGGAGTTTTGCCTGATGTGGAGGAAGCTTTTCATGCACCTACACTAGCGTGCTCAGCACACCTTTCAGATATTGCTATGGTCTGCTCTAACCAGTTCCACTCGATGATGATGATCTGGAGTCCTTGCCTGCATGCAGGTGCCATTGTGGATTGTGGAAGGGATATCTAAGCTCTTCTCACCTCTTCTGATGCTTTAATTTCTGCTTCTTCCCTTTTTAATCCTATTGCCGCTGATTCTTCTATCTCCTGGATATGCATCTTTGGCTCACCCCATCTGTGTTTGTCCTGACAGGAGAAACAGGATTCGAGCCTTGCTACTTGGAAGTACTCAAGGTTGTCAAAGGGAAACTGCACCAACCAGACGAGATCCGTGGAAGTTCCTTCTATGCTTTCTCCTATTACTATGATCGCGCAGCTGACACCAACCTAATTGGTAAATTGGTTTGGAATAATTTACTGCGTGTGAGCACGTCAACCAGAACGTAGACAGAGGAACCCTGGAGGCTGGAGCCATGGGGAGCAGGGAAAAGGAACAGTGTTGAGGAAGAAGAAATACATATTCATTCCCTGAAGGCATTTTGTATATCTGTCAGTGCAGTTTGATGTTCAGAGTTCAGCAGATGAGACTTGTGCTCTGAGCTCCAGTTATACTTGCAGCTATGTCCTGTGTTACCAACAGATCTCACTCCTAGCCCAGCATTACCAAGTTGTACTCTAGGGTCAACTTAGGTGTAGAACACAAATGCTTTCAGGTCTGTGATTATTTTTTCTCGCCTCTTCCTTTGCAGATTATGAACAGGGAGGTGTTCTGGAAGTGAGAGATTTTGAAAGAAAAGCCAAAGAAGGTAATAGTCATGAGACTTGGGAAACTGGTGGGGATGAGAAATAACAAAAGTATTAATTTCTCTAGGCAGTACATAATGTGAGTTTGACTTTAAAAAAAGTCTGTTTAACTTTTATTGCATTTTACCTTCTGTGTCATGTTCCTTAGCTTTTATTAGCTGCACCTGTAACTGTTGCAGAACAAAGTACTGAAGAGCAGTGAGGGGAAGCAAAGTGTTAGCGGCTTCACAGTTCTGTTCAAGAGAGGGGGAGGGTTCGTAAATGTCAGTACAAAAGAAAGTGAATTTGTTGTATCTAGAGCTGCTTCTGCCAAACTGCAACTCTGAGTTTAGGAGAGCGATGACTTCTGTAAGTCTGTCACCTTAAATCCTTTTTAATCTCTAACAAAATGGAGGGAGAGAGCAGAGGTTATTTAAGTCTGACAGCCTCTTCTGCATTCCTTTCCCTCCCCTTGACTTTTTTCCTGAATACTTGTTCTACTTTTGTACCTCTTCCTGGGAAAAAAGAGCTCCCACCTTGCCATGCTACTGATGGGTAACACTTTAGCTTACAGAGCAAGACATTACCTCTGTCGTGATCATCCTCATGATGATTAGTGGACTGTATTTGTCACCAGAAGATGTTTAATTATGTAGTTCAGGACTGACATTTTTCTAAAGTAGGACCTAAATTCTAATGATTTTTCAGTTAAACTTAATGTCCCTAGAAACTCAGATGATTTTGAATAGGGGGATTAGGCTCTAAAGTTTGAGTGTGTTTGTTTTGTTTTGTTTCCCTGGATACTGAGAGCTTATTTCCAAAGATGCAGCTGTTACCTGACACGATCAAACCATTTATTTAGCTTTAAAGCATCATGAGATAAATTCTGTGATCCTAAATTAATGCTCCTCTTTCTCATTTCATTAGTAGGAGAATGCTGCTTATGAGTTTCAAAAAAGGAAGTGAACTCTGCTCTTGATGCTTGTAGAACAGGACAGTAACAGGAGGTCTAGAAGAAAATGCTTAATGTAAATCCACTTCCCAGTCACAGTCACTCTTACTGTGGAATCCTGACTTAGCTGCAGCAAGGGAGTGGTTGGTTGGGCAATAGCCTCTTTCATGTCCTTGGACATATGTGGTTGGAAAAAAAATAAAAGAAGCTGCCAGCCTAGAAGGTGGAGTCCATTACTGGAGCCATCTTTGGAGTCTAGACAAGGAAGACAAATGATGCTGTGTTCTTGAAAGAATAGGTAATCTACCAGCTCCCTGCCAGTTATCAGTTGGGTGGAGATGCAGAGTTCAAAAGACCTGTGTGGATTATGTTGCTGTTATAAAAGATGTACTTATGATGGAGTTAAGGGAAACTGGAAGCTTCTTCTCCAACATTATAGAACAGCTGTGTAGCATGTACTGTGTGTCACATACCTGTTAATAGAAGTGAATGTCTTGCTTTAGTAGGCTTTGGCTTGGGGTCAGTTCAAATGTATAATGTGGATAAAATCTCCTTTATTTTGCTGAGATCCCTCTTTTTTTTTTTCTTCCTTCTTCAGTCTGTGATAATATGGAAAGGTACAACTCAGCCAGTCCTTTCCTCTGCATGGATCTCACTTACATCACTGCTTTACTAAAGGAAGGTTTTGGATTTGGGGACAACACGCTCTTAAAGGTAAGAAAGCTACTTAAATCCTAAAGCCAGCTTCCAAATTTCTCTTATCAATCAACACTTAGTTCATTTTTCTGGCTAATTATCTACTAAGTCTTTCGAGGGTTGTTTCATGTAGTTGCTGTCATCTGTGCAACATATGAACTTATTTTTCTTCCTTTATAGTTAACAAAGAAAGTGAACAACATAGAGACAAGCTGGACTTTGGGTGCTACTTTTTACCTACTGCAGTCTCTGGGGATAACCTATTGAGCTGTGACATTCCTGCAGACTTCAGCATTTCTGAAAGGCTGAGAAAGCAAATTGAAATCTCCAGATACATTGTTCATCTGGAGTTGGTCGCAGAGCAGAACATGGACCAAAGCTATAGAACAGATCTTCACCCAGGAATGGCATCGTGCATAATGAGAGTTGCTACAATATGATTTATAATTGTGATTGTCATAAATGATCCGGAAGCTGCCTTCTGAAAATCGAAAGGCTTAAACTCCAGCAGAGTATCTGCAAGAGCCTCAAAGCCAGCATTCACCAGCACATCTGTATAGCATCCCATTGCCAGAAGCACAGAGTATCTGGCATGGGGTGGTAGCCTACAGACATGTAATTTCTCCTCCCCCTTTTATTTTAAATATACGTAACTTAAGTTTGTAAGATGTTAAATACAGAAATTAAAGATGGCATCAACAGTCATTCAGAGAAAAGTGAACGACTCTGGATGCTGCCAGCCTCGGCGTTCCAAGTACCAGGCTGTTAGCTAATACATTGCAAAGACTCCAGTCTTTCAAGAAGGGGCTTGCTGTAAGCACACTTTGGGCATGGTTTTGGGAAGGGTGTTGGCTAAAACATAGGTTGTAACTTACCAAGCATTTCTTTAGGCAGCAGTTGTTTCCTAAGCAGAATGTGTGCCTGTGTGTTTGTTTTGCTGCCCTTTATAAGTCTTGTACATCTGGCTACCAGACCTGATAACTTGAGTCATTTAGCATGTAGTCAGAACACAGTGTTGTACTGGCACAACTAGACAGCAGTGCCAGCTACTTAAACTCCACTACCAAAACAAATACTTGTCACATTACACCCCCAAGGACATTAAGGGTACAGTGAGATGAAATGGTTGATGATAGCTCACTTTGCCATGAGAGGCAGTTCTGTTTCTCTGCTCTCAGCAAGGTACTCCCACAGCCTTCTTTTCTCTGATGCTTGTGTTCCTCGGGTTCTTTGGTGGCCCAGTGGTATCAAACTTGAGTTAAATCAGCTCACCAAAGAGTGAAGTCTGGTGCTTAGCACATGGGAAATATGCATTGCACCACCTGGGAGACCTGCTGGGCCAGCAAGCTGTTAGAACACCACAGCCCAGTTTACTGGATTGAGCTCTAAGGTGGGGTTTCCCATCTGAAAGTCTGGGTTTATCAATTCTTCTGCTCTCCTTAGGAACCTCGTCTGAATAGGGAGCTGTGGTGAAACAAGTTGTTTTTTCAATAGTTTAATAGGTGAAAATAGGGAGAGTGGAATTACCATCAGAAAGAGAGGGAGACCAAAAGCAGAAGTAGCTTTGCTTTCTTGTCCCTTGTTTGCTTATCCCTTGTCCATTTTAAAATTTTTTAAATTTAGTTTCTCTTCAATTCAGTGTAGCGAAGCTGGACCCATAAAATGGTGTATGCAGCCCTGCATTGCTCTGGAATTATTATATATAGTAGGGCTTTAGGAACAGTGCATCCAATGAAGGGGTGGCAGCTGTTTAGGAAGCCCAAGGCTTCTGTCAAGATAGCATGAAGCTATTTCAGTAACAATTTAAAGTGGATCTTGCCGTCTCTTTCACATCAAACACATAGAAACAACGAAAGATCAGTATTTTAAATGAAGTGTCATGTCAGGCTAGAAATCTGGGCTGTAGGATCCTGGTTTTCTTGTTTAATTGTCAAGAGTGCTCAAATACCTTGAGGCTCCAAGTGCAGACCTTGCATTATCCTAAATAGAAACAGCTGTAGAGACAACTTTTCCCACCCTATGAAATATTTGACAGTTAACTCATCTGTTTGCTCCTATTTAGCAAAAAAATAGTATCTTCTACTTACCATGGAATGTGTAATGTAAAGATTAATTTACCCCAGGCCTAAGAACAGAGAGCGATTACGTGTCTAAAGGAGGCTTTTATTCACTGATCTCTGCTGATGAACAATTTCCTGTCAGGAATTTGCACTTACCTATTTGGTATAACACACCTTTCCCACTTCTGTAAAACCAAAGACTGCCTTCACGCTACCTTCTCTGTAAAGTGTATTTGAAAATAATTGGTAATTCCCAGCAAGGGAAGTAGCACACTCATGCCCTTGCTAATCTTAGATTACCTTACTGTGAACATTAGCCCACTTCCTCTAGTTAGCAGCACAAGTTTGATGGTGGCTGATTAAGCTACCCCCTTCTCATATCTCAGGTTTTACAGCACTAGGGTGCAAGGCATACTTTTGATTGAACAAGTTCAGTCAGCAAGAGGAGTCCAAGGGTTGGGGACGGAGCTATCCATTCTTGTCCCATCACTAACACCTTGCTGTAAATTCAGGCTGTTTCCTTTAAATACAAAATACTCATCCTACCTGTACTCTTCCTTACCATAATCTGTTTTGAGATCCATGTTGGGAAATTTCTCAGTGTCACACCAAACTTCTGTTTCCTTCCTCACTAGGAGCTTGTTTGAACATGAAGAAAGTACTTGTGGCCTCTTCTCAACCACAAACATTTCTTATTCCCCTTCCCAGTGTCTGGCAAAACTTAGTATATGGTCTGGTCTGCACAAGGTGACTGCAAACGCATTAATTTTGTCTTCAGTGAACAACTGTATTCAGTTTTGTATTCTCAGAGAACACAAAGTAGGATGCAGTGGTTACTAGTCAGGCTGTATTATTCCTGAGAAGTAGCTAATTTTATAATCCAAAAGTCTTTCAGTCTGAGCCAGTGCTATGACAAACTCTTCCGAGATCTTGGGGCTAAGAGCCATACGCAGTGAGGCTATATTTGAAACAGGAAGGGAAGGTGGGATGTTACATGTAAGAAACAAGCAGCAGCATATCTGCCAACTGAATAGACAGTAGCCCTGAGGAGGACTTAAGGGTTTGGTTCTATCTGAAAGGAGGATGGTCTAAAACAAGATAGGTACCATGCAGAGGAAGTTTCATTTCTGTGTTCTTTGCCTCAGACTCTCGTATTAGTGCTAGGTGGGGGGATGTGCTTCCCAGTACCAAAGTTAAATAAAATCTGAATGCTCAGGGCCTTCATTTGTCTGTGGCACAATTCATTAACTGAAGCAAGAGTGCTGCTCTCTATCAGGGGCCTGATCCTGCAGTCATGAGAGAAACAAAAAGCTCAGCGGTTTCTTTTGCAAGAAATTGCAGAATTGAGCCCCTGCTGTTTACATCTGAACTACTCATGGTGGGTGGGGGACCTAGAGAAGCCAGTGAAGTCCTCACACTTACCCTAGTGCAATGAGATTATTTATTAGTTTAACTAAAGACTAAGCAGCCTTTTAAGAGAAGAGTTCTAGTTGCAGCCCTCATTTTTATCTCCTCCTCCATCAAGTCTTTTAGCCAGTCACTAACAGCAACTGCCTAATATGAGTGACTGAAGAAGCACAAGTAATGGCTTTCAGTTCAGAACTTATGTTTCATTCTTTCTGATGTTAATTGCTGACACTGGTTAACCATATGTGTAAATCTTGCCCCTGGGCAGTGCTCACTTAATGTTGCAAGTGTCAAATGTGTAATGCAGGAGGCTGGTGTTTGGAACCTAAGACAGAATATCTTGAATGTCTATTTTAGTAATTAAATTGTTTTTAACAATATTCAAGACACTATGGTGCAGTTTTCTTTCCTAGATATTATTGTGGTCTTGCATCTCTTCTTCATCAAGCCCTTAATATTTTTTTTTCTTGTGGAACTGGCTACTCTTAAATAAAGCACCAGGAGAAGGGCAGGGAAAAGGGTGAAAGAAAGAGGGACAGATTAGAGCTTTAACACATATCTGCCATCATGAGTCGGCTCTCCTCTACTGAAAACTACCCCTCCTCTCCTGAGTCCAGGAAGTGCCAAGAACCCAGGAGTGACATTACAGCTCTAGAAATCACATCAGAAAAAAAGAAAGTAATTAAGTAGCAAAAGTTGTAGCTGGCAAAATTCAGCACTGCATTTACCAAAAGACAGACAGCTGTTTCCATCTCAGTCTTCAATTCAAAAGGCCCAAATTAAAAGCACATTGAACAGATGGTTCTGTGGCTGAAGACATGATGGTACTGCAGGAAGAGAACCTAAATCCTCTTGAGGAGAGCAGATGAGACAGAACTTTTGTATAAACCAGTGGATGATGTAGCACACAGCTCCATCCTTCTGTTTTATTGTTAAATTAAAGAAACACAGTTCAAAGATTCAAGTCAGTCAGTCCTTATAAGGGCAATGCATTCACTGGCCAACTGCTGTTCCAAACTGACAACAGATCACTTGCTGGCAAAAGCCATGATTTGCTCCTAAAAGGGGGGGGAGAAAAAGATAAGTAATTTGTAAACTGGTAATAAGCATACATTCTAGAAAGCAGCTATAGTCTCTTATATATATGGACAACAGTTCTTTGTCAGCCTTTCTAGCCAAGAGCAGAGCACCTATCCCTGTACACTAGAAAATTAAAGAAATTGCAGCATTCCTTTCCCTCCTGAGTAGCACAAAACAGATGTTACCAAAAGGTTCTGTGCTCAGAAAAAGCGGTCTTCACTTGGTTTTCTGCTTTAAACAGAGACACTGAAAAAATATTCTGAGCACTGAAGCAGCACCATAGTCCTCTTTTTGGTGCAACTAATAAAGACACCTTGTCAGTGGCAGCTACTACACCTTAGGAATTTACTGCTCTTCAACTCAGGTAGTGTCTTAACCGTGACCATAACACAAAGGAAACAAGCCACCTGTGTTTAGTAGGAAGAAGGTAACTTGATGTACGGAATAAAATACTCAAATCCAGACATGAGGAATCTAATTTGAGGGTGCCTGGGAGCTTTGAGAGCAGGTGGCTTAAGGAACCTCATGAAAATCCAGCTACTAGGTCAAGACAGTGCAGAATTTAGGAAGACAGGCTGCAAATAGAGGGCCTCTGCTTAAGACCGAACCTCCTCACCACTACCTTCCTCGGGTAACTTCCATCGGACACTTGCTCTTCTGCCAGGAGGGAACAATTTAACAAGACAAAACAGTACAGAAACAGATAACCATCTGAGCTGC